AAGACAGAAATCAACTACAGAGTCCAAAGTGATAAAAAAAAAAAAAAAGATAAAAATTTAAACTAAAAAAGCTACTACGTATTCAATAAATCCCTGTTTATCATGAGTTATCTTTATGCTAAAAACTGGCATGGCACACAGAGGAAGGCACTGGAAAGATGAGGTTAAGTGTGGTCCTCAACACCACATGAGACCTACATTCTAGTCCTGGTCTCACCAATAATTTAATTTTGTGGTTTTGGTCAAATCAATCACTCTTGGTCTCAGGATCCTCAGCTGTAAAATTAGACTCCAAATGAGTTTTAAGGTTCTCAAATCCCATCACTGTCAAGGAAGACATTGATGAATATACTTTTATTCCCTTCTTTAAAGTAATTTACTACCGGATTGCCTTCCTCCTTTAACATATTGTAATTAATCAGTTTTAAGTATCCCATACAACTATGATTTTTTAATTTAAAATTATATTTAACTTTGAAATAATTGTAACAGCTATGCTGAATATAATTCACACACCATAAAAATTACCCACTGCAAATGTACAATTCAATGACTTTTAATAAAGTTATGCAATCATCGCAACTATTTAGTTTTAGAACATGTCCAGCACCCCCCAAAATTCCATCAAGCCCAATTCTAACCCCAGCCCCAGGCTGCCTTCTATCTCCATATATTTGTTTTTTATGAACATTTTATATAAATGAAATCATACAGTATGTAGTCTTTTGCATCATGCTTTCTTTACTTTACCCCTTTTTATTGCTGAATAGTATTCCACAATTGGATATATGACATTTTGTTTCTCTATTCACCAGGTGAATGGATATACAACATTTTGTTTCTCTATTTACCAGGTGAATGGATATATGACATTTTGTTTCTCTATTTACCAGATGAATGGATATACATTTTGTTTCTCTGTTCACCAGTTGATGGATATTTGCTTGTTTCCAGTTTTTGGCTTTTATTTATTTTTATTAACATATTCATTGTTACAAATCATACATATTCTTTATGCCCTTTTTATCCAATCTCTCCCTTTCCCCTTCCATCCCTCCCCCTTCCCCCCTATCTAATAATCATAGATTTGTTCTCTCCATCTGATAGATTAACTGTTCCCCTGTTGGTGTGTTGCCTAGATGATCTATCCAGTACTGAGACAGGTGTGATCAAGTCCTCCCCTATTATCATAAATCAGATGCTTCTTCTATTACTATAGAGTGTGCTTTATGGAGAGAGAGGACCTCTTCTCTTTTTTTTTTGTCTCCGCTCGTGCCTCTCCTGTGTCAATACAGTTGAGAGTCTCGCGTGTCATCTGCACGGTGGCTGTGTCTGCTGCTATAGAGACTAGCCACTTTTGCAGCAGCCATGGCAATTGTGGTGGCTATGGCAGGCTACCCATGTAAAAATGGTGTTTTTGGTGTGCTCTTTACTTGGTTGCAGCTGGGTCTGGCTTCCCCCGGCCCCATGCCTCATTCTAAGATGTTGTTGCAGAGCAGATGAGGGGGAGAAGGATAAGGGTGGGAAGAGTGGGAAGGAGAGGGACCATGACTGAGGCCTATGACCTCCCCCTGATTCCAGCAGGGGAGACCAGGGGGCTTCCAGTAGCAGCTGGGTCATCGCTTGGCTGAATGCAGATGTCAGCAGGGTGTGGCTGAAGCCCCTAGTCCCCCACTGCCCCAGCTCAGGAGCCTGGGGCGCTTCCTGCAGCAGCTCAGTTGTCATCTCTAGGCTGCTTGAGGATATTGGAGGGGCACAGCTGAGGCCCCCGGCCCTCCCTCTTCCATGGCTTGGAAGCCCAGGGTACTTCCAGTCTTTATACAGGTGTTCTTTGGTGGTGTAGACCTTCACTAGTTACTTCATCTCTGATTTGTGGGGTTTTTTTTTTTTCCATTTCTGTGTTGGAATATTTGCTGTTCCCACCACTTAAACTGTGCAATGGAACTAATTTGTTGTCCTTTGCTTACTTCTAAAATGGGGGAAATTCCTGTGGGAACCAGCACTTGAGCTGTGGTTGAGCTAAACTGCTGCTTTGCTGCTGATTTCCAGGGAAAGGCTTTTTGTGCAGCTCAGGTTTTAATGGTTGACCTTATATGTACTTCCGTGTCTCATGAGGTCTGGTACACCTGGGTCGTGTGGAAACTCTGGTCTGGACCTGAGTCTTCTCAGCAGACTGCACCCCCTGCAGTTCTACATTCCTGACTAGTCTCCACTGAGTGGTCCTGCACTAACTGGGAGGGAGATCAGCTGTCCATGATATTCCCCAATGTTCTCCCGGTGGCCTGTCTCCCCACCACCCTACTCCAAATACTTCCCATGGGATGGGCTGTGCACCAGTCCCTTGCGATGACTCACCCACCTCTGAGTGGTTCCTTTTATCTGTTGTCTGTGGCTCCTTGGTCCTATGTGGGTCCACAGGAACCCTGTTAGTGGTCTTGCTGGCCTGGCAGCCACCATGGCCTCTTCTCCTCTGACACCTCCAAGCAACTTCATATGAAGGACACAGCTCCTGCTCTGTGTGCTCAGCAGCTCCAGCCTTAAAGCATCTGGGGCTCTAAATGGTGGGAGTGGTCCTTTCTTTCCTTCTTCATGGCTGCTCCTGCCTTTGCAAATTTTGTAGGTCTCTCCTCCTCCTCCCCTGAGCCCTGGTGGCCCCAGACTGGCTGTTGTTGCTTTTTAATAGTTGTAAATTGGTTGATTTGAGAGAGAGAGTGACACTGGGGAGCATCTATTTCACCATCTTCACTGGAAGCCAGTTTTTGGCTTTTATGAATAATGCTGCTATAAATATCCATGGAGTAGTGTTTGTGTGGACATATGTTTTCACTTTTCTTGGGTATATACCTAGACATGTAATTGCTGGGTTATATAGTAAGCTTATATTTATCTTTTTTAAAAACTGCCAAACTGTTTTCCAAAGTGGCTATACTATTTTACATTCCCATCAGCAGTATATGTCTTATTATCTTTTTTTTAGTAAAATCATTCCAGTAGATGTATAGTGGCTTTGGTTTGCATTTCCCTAATAACTAATGACACTGAGCACTTTATGTGCTTATTACCCATTCACATGTGTTTGGTGAAATGCCATTTCAAGTTTTTGCCCATTTAAAAAACTTGCGTTGGTTGCTTTCTTCTTATTGAGCTGTAAGACAAAATGCTTTTTTGTTCTTCAAAATAAGCATATTTTGTTATATAAAATTCAAGTGGATTAAATAAAGTTGAAAGTAGCTTGCGATATATTCTATACTTTTCTCAAGTAAATAGTGCAGGAATCTTGCAAAGTTCAGTTTGAGCTTAGAATTTGGTTAAAATCTGCTATTTGGCTTTGGCCTCCAGAAGGCAAAAGATCTGAAAGATACCTCTGAGCCACTGCAAGATCAATGAGCTGGTGACAACATGGGTTAACAATAAAAGTGAAACTGTGTATTAATGGCAATAATTCAAACACGGTTGACATTCGGATTTACTTTTACTACCTAGGTTCGTATTCTTAATGTAACTTGGGAGTGAAAAATCTCTTTCTGTGACATATGTGCTTGCTATGTTGAATTCTATCAGTTAATTGAAGTATAATGCTTACTACAAATAATTAAAGAATGAAAGCTGCTATTTTATATTAAAAATTATTAAATTAAAAAAGCTAAATAGAGAAAGATATTGATAGTTAATGTGACTATTAGAATAATTAACGTTACAAGAAACATTATACTCTTTGTGACTCAACGAATGTTCATAAAAATGTAAATATTATAAGACAGAATAATAAAGATTAAGTTAGACCATAAGTGTCCATTATTATCCCCATGTTACAAATATGGAAACTAAAGGAAAGAGATGCAACTTTTTTAGGTCAAATGGCTAGAAAACCTTAGAAGTTAAGTGACTTAATTAATATATAAAGTACATATAACATGAAGGTACTTGAAAAGGTTCATGGAAAAATGGAATTAAAAGATAATACAAATCTTTCTATGAACTTTTTGAAGACCTGTGACTTAATTAATATATAAAGTACATATAACATGAAGGTACTTGAAAAGGTTCATGGAAAATGGAATTAAAAGATAATACAAATCTTTCTATGAACTTTTTGAAGACCTTTCATACATATCACTATAATTGCTATTAGTGAAAAATGCTAAAGCAAACATCTTTGTGAATGTATTATATATACATACACCTATATTCACATGAACAGTGAATTCCTTAGGATATATCACTGGAAGCTGAATTATTCAGTCAAAGTATATGCACATTTAAATTTTTATACGTGCTGCCAGATGGGTCTCCCTGAAGAGGTATATGAATTCCTATTAGTACTAACAGTATATAAGAATTCCTATTTTTCTGCAACCTCCCCAACAATGATTAATATTAATTTTTAAAACTTTAAGTAATGTGACAGGTCAAAAATCTGATTATAAACTTTTGTTTCAATTATGTATGCATATTCCTGTTTGTGTGTGCATCTACATTGGTTGTTAAGCAAAATATATGTTACTGTGGGTCACAGTCTGAAAAAAAACCTAATCCATATAATGACTATATGAGCCAGATCTTTGCATAACTAGTGCCTTCTCGCCATTTAGGTCTTATCTTGGCCTTTCTTAACCATTCTATTTAATGTTGCCTCCTCCAAGGCATTTATTCTTACACTACCTTGTTTTGTATTTTATTTATTTTTTATTTTCATCTGTTTATTTTAAATTTTATTTTATTTCTTTAATTTTAATTTAATTTAAATTTTTATATTTTATTTTATTTTATTCACAGTGCTTACCACTACTTAAGTTATCTTACTGTTTAATCTTTCTCCCCCACTAGAATACGAGCTAATGACAGGAGCGGCCATGTTCTCTGCTGTGTTCCCAACACTGTTAGAACAGTGTCTGCCCACCCATAATACCCACTCGATAAAAATTTCTTGACTGAATAAACTTTATAATTAAACAACAACCAAAGCCTTCTGACATGCTGTAAAAACATGTGCATCTCACATCTGTGATCTCCCTGTCCTTGTGGACCTAAGGCTTGAATTCCAGCGGTCCACTCCAGAGTCACGGACCCTGTGGGAAAGTTACATAATTATACTTTCACAACTTAAATGCTTAGTCTTCAGACAATAAGTATCTGATAAAAGTGACCTGATCTACTCATAGTTTGGACAGATGAGCAGAGTATTCATTTAATAAGAGTTAAGGAACAAAGAAAAAACCATGGGATCCATTTCAAAAGGAAACATAGGAATGCCAGAAGCTTTTGGCTCACCTACATTTTAAATGTCAACTATCTAACAAATAAATACCCCCATACAGTTTAAACTCTTCTGGAGAAGGTTAACAGTAAATTCAATGGGATGTAAATTGAGAAAGGAATGTACATTGGGAAGAAAAAAATAAGAGAAAAAAACAAATGGAGAGGAAAGTCATAAACATCCCAAATAGGTTTGCTGGAGAATTTGTGAAATGTAAAATGTTACAATTAGAAGATGACTTAAGTATTAGAAGTCTTTCTGCATGTGCTGGATATCTGTGTCTTTCCCAAACCCTACTAGTGCCATATATGTGTGTTTATGCACATATGTGAAGAGCTTATTAACTTTAGGGGAGATGCTGCTGCTCTGCCTATCTGAGATAATATTCACAAGAGAACCCCATATCACCTTGTACCTATTTCTGCTATAGTAATGGGTTTTAAGTTACAGCAAATGTAGATGATGATACAGGCTCTGTCAGAGTACTTGGGTTTGAACCCCATTTCCACTATTTATTAGCTGTGTGACTTTGGACACATTCCTTAATTTCTCTGATCTTCAATTTCTTTATATGCATAATTAAAAACTTCACAAAGTTATTATGTTGATCAAGTTAAAAATACATGTAAAGGCCTTAGAATAATGCCTGGCACATGGTAAGTCAGAATACTTACTAGGTATCGCAATCCTTATACTAAGATCTTCAAATGCTTTTTCTCCTCTAGTTCTTACAACAATTCTATGAGGCAGGTTATTATAAGACATCTCCTCATTCCCATATAGATAAGCAAGTGTGAGCCATGAAGAGGTTAGATAACCTATCCAAGAACTCACAACTACTAAGTAATAGAACTAGGAGTAGAATGTACTCTTAGTTGCACACCTATGCCAGGTTTCCTAATAGGCAAATACTAGCCTTCTAATGTCCCAGAAAGTATGAATAATCAACATCTTATCAACATTCTGCTGCAGTTGCCCTCATATCTATATCAGAACAAGGGAGTATGTTACACACGTGCACACACACATCAATTATATCTATCATGTGTAGCTCTCTGATATGGGTTGAATGTTTGTCCTCTCCAAAGGTCATGTGGAAGATTGATCCCCAATGTGGCGATGTTGAAAGGTGGGATCTTTAGGGCAACTGGATTGTGAGGGTCCTGCCCTCATGACTGGTTATCATGGGTGCGAAGTGGAGGCTTTATAGAGAGCACATGAAAGTGTTCTTGTCATTTGCAGCATGTGATTGCCTGTGTCACCATGGGATTCTGTAGAGGCCCCACCAAGAAGAAGACCCTCATCAGATGCACCCCTGGACCTTGGACTTCCCAGCTCTGAAACCATAAGAAATAAATTTCTTTCTTTTTTTTTTTGTGGCTGACAAGTTTGGGATGCAAACCCTTGACCTTGGTGTTACCTAAATTTTATTTATTCATTACCCAGTTTCAGGTATTCCATTGTAAGCAAAACAGAATACACTCTCCAAAAAGAGGTTAAGAACCAAAGCACCACAGCACGCTTATCAAATTTTGGTCCCATGCCTTTGTATCCTGTTTTCCAGGCTGGGGACATTACCAGGAAAAAAGGAGCTATTCATTTCACAGCAGATTCCTTTAATACTATTACTAAAAAGCAGATAGTATTCAACAAATATTTCTTGAATAAATGAAGAAAATAACACATGAGAAAAGGCTCTGTAAAATCACAAAGTACAAATCAAGATTTATAAAGTCAACTTAATTATTATAAGGTTATATTTACTTTTAGATTTTATTTCTATTTATTATAGAAAATATAAAGTTAACTTAATAATTTATTAACAATAATCATAGCTATAATACTTGTTGAAGATTCATTATGTGGCAGGCTAAAGGCCTTATCACCTTATTTCAATCCCATGTGACACTCCCTATGAAGTAGGTACTGTTATTACACCCATTTTATAGAAGACGGCATACTTAAGGTCATATTCTAGGCAGTGCTGGAGCCAGAATTTTAACTCTATCAATTTCTATATCAAACTCCTTTTCTATATTGTAGAAGAGAAAACAATTTTTTAAGAAAAAAATTCACCCATTTAAAATGTATAAGTCAGTGGTTTTTAGTATATTCACAAATTGCACAACCATTGCCACTATCTAATTTTAGAACATCTCATCAGCCCAAAAAGAAACTCCATGCCCATTAGCAAGTATATGTATATACACAATACATGCATAAAAGAAATGCAAATTTTTTAGAATAAATCCTCCATTAAATATACGGTTGAATGTATATGTGATTTAGCTAATGCAAAAGAAAATCACAAAATGAATTCCAAAGGATAAAACATGACTTGGTGGGCCTTCTGTAATTTTGCATTAGTAACATCAACATTGATGTTACTTTGAGGAAGGCAAGTAATCAAGAGCTGATATCTATGTCCAATTCAGATTATTATGGTTCAAACTCCAATTCCAAAGGCTTCTTAGCATTTTTGTATTAACAACCAGATAGTAAGATTAGGAGGGAACACAGGTAAAATAGTGTACAACACAGCTTCCTTCAATATTCCCCCTATCAACATCAAAGAGAAAAGCTTAGGAAATAAAGCCACAAAAGTTTCAAATGTGCAAATGTTCATGCACATTTCAAAGAACCCACAGCCCTGTATTTGATCATTTACAACAGTCACTAAGGCATTATTTAGTAAATTCTGCATATACCCTGAGTAATAAAAAGGAACTCACTGTCAGCAAAGGCATATTCTTCTTCATTTTCATCACTGTCATCAGATGGAGCTTTATAAGGTGGAGGCAGTTTCATTGGAGGTGGAGCAGTTCCTTGCCTCTGAAGATGCAAAATTTGAAAGAAGGGTTTATTGCTTTTGTACAATCCTTGTCTTCCATGACAAAAAAAAACATAAAAAGATAATCTGGAAATACTTTGACTGTACCCAACTTCAGGCATATCATAAGGATGATAAAACAACTTATTCTCTTATGCTTATATTATTACATAGAAGTGACTCTGTGATATAAACACACAAATGCAGAAAACAGGAATTCAAAAGCACAGCTTTTGACACTGTTGACCACAGCTGGTCTGTCAGCTCAGTCAGAGTGAGGTGTTGATAACACTAATCAAGGGTTCGGATCCCTGTACCAGCCAGCTGCCCCCCTGCCAAAAAATATAGGTAATTCTGGTGATAAAAACTTAAATAAGTATTGACTGTGAAAAAATAAAGAATAATTTTTTTTAAAAAGACTGATCTACCTAGAAGAATACATCCCTTTCCACAGTGAGAAAGCCAATTACGTATACATATTCTTTACATTGTAAAAGATTAATTTTGTTATTAAACAAATAATTCAATTGAAAGACATTTCAAAAATAAACCTAAAAGCAAAAAAATCCACTATATTAATTCCACAATTATTTAAACTTCTTCAATTGTAAAAGTTACAGATTTCATTCCTTAAAAAATAAAATACCAAGATTTTCCAACTGAAAAGGTATTCATCTATAATTTGTAGTTAGTCAACAGACATCTTAATGTTTAACAAGAGAAATCTTTATGATAAATAAGTATCTCTGCATAAGTATACTTTCAATTTACATACCAGATGATACAGCACATCAATATTTGGTTCATAAAGACAATTAAAGTAGAATAATACTTTATGATATGATTACCTTCACAGAACGGAGACATTTTCCTGAACGCTGGTAAAAATAAAACATGCCAAACTTTACAAAAAGATCCAAGCTGCTAAGAACAGGAGCTGATATACCCGAGCACTCTACAAATTTAATTGGATTAAGATTTGTTTTGCTACAGGATTTCAATAAAGTACATTCAATTATGGTTTATATGACAAAACCACTAATGGCAGGATACACTTCAGTAAGTGGATGATGACTGGCCCATTACAGAAAGCAGGTATGTAATAAATTCTTCTAATATAGATAACATTATTTAGGATTCATAAAAGAAAATGCACACCTACATTTAAGATAATGTCTAACCAAAGCATACATATATTTGTAGAAATCCAAAAATCGATAAAATGCAAGCATGATGAAGGAAGAAAAGATGCCAAATACGTAATGCTTATTAAGCAACAAGAGAATACAGAAATGTGATCACTGTGTTTCTTCAATTCTTTTAAGTTGAAAAGAAAAAAATGAGTAAAGTGAAGAGGAAAAGCACATAAATTCTTTTCAGTAAACCTTTTTCTCATAACCAGGTTATTCTACGTTAAACACAAAACTCAGAACAAAGCCAGATTTTGAAACAATTTTAAAAGATATGAATTCTCTTTAATAGCATTTTATTCATATATATAAATATTATTTATTTAAAGGAAAACTGCACCCAATGTATTTATTTAGCATCTACCAATAACTCTTGAAAAGAATACAGGATAAGCATGTCGTGGTCTACTATAGTTTGAATGTGGGTTGCCAAAACTTGGGGCATTTTCTGTTGCACATGAGAGAAGGGTATGACAGGTTCTCCCTGTGGCAGAGAAGGCTGGATCAAGGTACATATAGCTAGGCCAGGGGATTATAATCTCCATGAAAGCGGAGAACAAAACAGACTCTGTGGTATACTCAACTCTGAAAAACATCCCTGGCACAAAGTAGGCCTCCCTTAACTATTTGCTAAATGACTAAACAATTGGTTGTTATTCATGCTGTTTAGGTTCTCTGATGTATTACTCTCTAGATGCAAATGATTCTTGTTCAATTAATTTTGTCTGTAGAAAAGATAACTCCAAAGGTTACAGTTTCATTGCCCTGTAAGACATTAACCAGTTTTGTATCTAAATTTGAATCTTAGGCATACTTTCTTTCAGCAATTATAAATACTCCATTCTCTTCAATTCTCTCTGAACCAGGCTTACCATCGTGTTGGCTCCCTTGTTAATGAGTTAAATAAATACCTGGCACCTGCACTTTTGCATAATTTTATGAGTCCTGTTTTTTATTTTTTCTTAGATCATACTTTGACAGTTTTGGAGGTCCCACTGAGATACTCAAATAGACTCACCTTCCAGAACCAATTAAACTATGAAGCTTCAGATATGCAATTCATGAGCTGATTAAGCCCATTAACATGATTTCTTGGCTCCCATAGTAAACTCCAAGAGGTAACAGAACTTTGCCTGTCTGTTTCTCTGTTTTTTATTTCCAATTCTATATTTTTGTTTCTGATACCAGGTCAAGTTTGGTTCTAATATGTACTTGATCTATAAGTTATTACCCATTAGTAGCAGCAATAAATAAAGTTTGGTTTTATAGTCTGACCATGTAGTGATATTTGTTGGGATGATGAAGATCTATTCTACACTAGATCCATAAGGACCTATTCTCTATTTATTGAAAGACAACAAAGAATGTGTTTTTTAGTCTGTTTGCCTGTTTGTATTTTTTCATAAGAACATGTCTTGGGTCCACTGGAAAGAACAGTTCTTTGGGATGTTAGACCAGTGGGTTTTTGCATTTCTCTGTCTACATTTGACATATGGCTATACTTGAACAACAGAAGCTGAAACCAATAACTCAGAAGCATCTAATAAAGAATCCAGATACACATAAAAAAGTGATTTGATCATTTAAGTTTAGAAAGAGCTATGCTTCTCCCTGATCTCCTTGATCTTATTTATGTAGAGCATAAAACAAAAATATATGACTATAAAAACACTTATGACAATGTGCTATCCATGTATAAAAACACATATGTTTGGATATATGTATGAATACCACAAATATTTACAAATTAACCTGAATATTATCAGCCAATTTTAATGCCTAACACAATGCAGACTATCAATGATAGAACACTATATTTGTTGCTGTTAAGAATAATCAGAGATCATGAACACTGTAGCACTCTAAGTACCATCAGAAGCTAATTTTGATCTCTGCAAAATGTCTACACAAAGTTCCCTTAGTTCCAGGGATTGGCATGTCCAGATTTTCCCTTTGGAATAGATGTCTGTCATAACATCAGCATTATTAAGGTATAATTTACATACAATAAAATGTACTCGTTTTAATGAAATATTCGGAAGATATACACTTTCATTAAAACTTGATATATCTGTATTTTTAGAAACTCTTACTATTTAGTGGAAGACAATATTTCCATTGGGTAATAACTGTAAAGAAAAAGAAAGTGACTAACAATAGAGGACCACTTCTCCAGTAACAAATCTCCCAGTTGTGAATAGTGTCCACAACCTCTTGACAAAAGAGAATATGTGAAATAACACTAAAGTTTAGAAAGAAAACACCAAAGAATTGTTATCAATCTATAATTAGTATTAGTACTTCTATGAATCCTGATTGACTATCCTTTTGCACTCTACATGAAACAAAACAGGTCAGAAAATACTGAACTGAGACAAATCCAAACCAAACCAAACCAAACCAGGACGTGTTCAAGACCTAATAATTATTTTATCAAGTTAGTTTTTAAGTCACTCTCTTTCTGTCTCTCTCTCTTTTAATGTAAATGATCTCAAGCCCAAATTGATATTTCTAACCTAGACCTCTGTTAGAAATGAGTTTTAAGTGATTTTTACTGTCTTCTTTTTGACTGTCTATAATTCTAGAGAATATATATTGCTTTTGTACAATGAGAAAATAATGAATAAAAGAATTACTAATGATAATAATTTCTAAAGAGACTTGGAAAGGATGTGATCCAATATCCCCTTGGGCACATTTCGATTATCACACAAATTAAACTTCTGTTTATCTCACTACATTTGCCCTTATCTCTGTGCCTATTAGGGTGGAGGTGCTTTGTCATTCCAGACCGTAGTGGTATAATGCTTGGCACATAAGATGCAATTTCAGAGAAAAGTGACATAGTAAAGAGCATTCTGCAACCACTAAAATACCAAACCTGAAATGGAAGATGTAGATTGTGATATGATTACTCCGACTGCGATATTAACTTAGTGGTTAGTTGTTTTCCTCTGTAACAAAGAACTCAGCTAAATAGACATACATTGACTTTTGGTATTACTTTCCTGGGCTCTTACTGGGTTTTTACTGAATGCAAACATCCTTGCTATGTATTGACATTCCATTTGATTTAATGAAGCAGGCCAAAATTGATAAGAATCATATACCTTTACCTTTTTCCTTCCTGGGATCTTACATGGGATTTTCCTGAATCGACTAAATTATCTTGTTCCCAAAAGTAATTTAATTACTAACCGTCTATTCATCTATGTGCTGTTTATTGTCTGTGTCCCCACAGACTGATTGATACCTTCTCTGTTTCCTTTTCGACATTATATCCAGACTGCCACACAGTAACTGGGTCACAATAGGTTTCCAATAAACATTAGATGAATACTCATAGCTTTGAATCAACATATAAATCAACAAAATTCCAGCAATAGTGTTCACTAAATATTCTGAGAAACCCTTAACCACATAAACATGACAGATTAAATTTTAAACAGTGTTTTTGTAACATGTCTCTGAGGCCAGAAACAACCATAACTCCCATACTAGGAGGTCTAGTGGAATAATGTCAATCCCTGATGACCTAAAGCCAGAGATTTTGTTTTGTTTTTAGTATTCTTTATTTATTCAATAAATATGTATGGTGCCAGGCAGTGTTCTGGGCAATGAGGGTAGAGTAATAATGAGACAGATGAGATCCCTGCCCTCACAGAGCTTATATTCCAGTCCCTTTGAGATGTCACATTTCGTGGGTCTCCATGATTTGTCCCCAAATTGCTTTAAAGTAGCAGTTTCTGAATTCTGTCTTGTTTGCCTTGCCCCACTAGAATGCAAGCTGCGGAAGGGCAGGGAATTTTTGT